ATGCATCGTTCACAGAGAGGCAGTACACCTCATCGATGCCCAGTGCCTTGAGCTCATCGTATTTGTCCTCGTAGCCTGGGAGGTGCGTGCTCGAGCACGTTGGGGTGAAAGCCCCTGGCAACGAGAAGACCACCACGCGCTTTCCTTTGAAGAGATCCTCAGAGGTCAGGTCCTTCCAATCGAAGGGATTCTCCACCTTCTCCTCCGTGCGCGTGCGGGTCTTGAATGTCACCGAAGGCACGTTGCTGCCCTCTTTGATTGGATTGATAGCCGACAGCTTGGCAAGCTGGTTCCCCATCAGGCCAACTTATGCAAGGAGCGAGAAGCAGCGAAACTTTGAGGCACAAATGCTCCAGCCGTATAATATGCTCGAAACAGCGCGACGACTCCTACTAGTAGTTATTAGACTCTTGTCTTGTCGATTTGCATTGAGAACTGCACTGACACTTAATGTCCGTAGAATGGCAAAGCTTTGAAATGCAGACCCCCCATGACCCTCCAACATCAAGAGGCCCTGCCTGGCCCTGAGCCCTCAAAGTCTGAACCCCGCACCCTCAAACTCCAAGCCCGAGACCCTCAAGCCTGAAACTCTCAAACTCAAAGCCCTAAGCCCCAAACCCTGGTCCCTGAACCCTCAAATCTTAAGCTGGAAAGCCCCAACCCTCAAACTCCCCCAATATCAAACTCGAAGCCCTGAAGCGTACACACCCTAAACCCTGAAACCTCAAAGTCTGCAACCAAGAAACGAACCTTACAAAACCTCATAGCACGTTAGACAAGAGGGTTTTAGAGGCCCAGCGCCCCGCCCCTAAAGGCAAACTCGCTAAACCCTCAAAAATTGTTCCAGCCGAGGCCACAGGATGGGCGAGAAAGGCTTGTGGACTTGAAGCCTAAGCTCGCGTCCCAGCGGTTGTCATAGACCTTGCAAGGATGACTCTCGGGAGTCATAGACAGACAGATACATGCATGCTTCTGTGCGGCTATGTATGTGCATATACATATATATATATGTAGATGTACGGTGATGAGGAGTTGCCGATGATGTGGCTAAAGGCGATGGCGGTGGGATTGACAATGGAGACGTAGATGTCGATGGTGACGTGGTGACGATGGCAGTTTAAACGGCGTGGAAGAGGAGTTTAAAGGCGATCTGGGGCGCGTCCATTTGCAAAAGCATAGGTCTAGCACAGGAATTTAAAGGCGATCTGGGGGCGCGACCGATTTGCAGGAGGATCGCTCTCGAAGAGGAATTTAAAGGCGTGGAGGAGGAGTTTAAAGGCGATCTGGGGGCGCGACTGATGCCCTAAACCCTATACATCCTTATACCAAGTCTTTTAAGACAACTAAGTAGTGATACGTACTTTTGAAGTCCAGGTAGGGATCCTAGTAGCTTCAAGAACATGTGACATGTGGTCTGAAAATGTCGTAGTGGTTGAAAAACTTTTGGCATAGCGGAGTTCGGTTTGAGCAACTCTTGCACCACCCTGTATACCCGTATACCCTATACCCTTTCAATTGCAGTATAGTGGGGATCTCAAGCAGTGCGAGATTTCCTCCATCCACCGTGGTTCGAGGTTTCCTGCAGAGTCTGGTGCTGAGCTTGGAGTTTGGGCCTGACGCTTGCAGGACTTTGGGAAGCTAGACAGGGTTAGGGTTAAGGGTCTTAGGGGATATTAGGGTTTTAGGTTTAGGGCCTCCTGGCTCGCTTCGATGGTGCGACAGGGGCAATATTTCTCAAAGGCCCCACAGATACAGCCACACCACACCAAACTGAGAAGCAGACTTGGGACCTTCTGCAGTGCATCCAGTGGCGAATGACTATTACGCTGAGCAGGCCACCCATTTTAAAAAAATATTCAACAACAACATGAGTTCCCAAAACGTCAGGAGTCGAGGACATTCCCTGACACCAGAATCAGATACCTATACGGAATTATCTTTAAAAAATGTGGTTTGGGGTTGGGCTTTTGGTCGGGGGCTTCGTTTCGCCACCGAGCCCTAAGACTTTTTGGTTTTGGGCGCAGGTCCCGGCAGAAATGACTCAGTTCGGCCCTTGGATAAGCTTTGCTGCACCCTGAAGTCCGGGATCCGACCTCCCTGTACCTAGGGTTCAGGGTTTAGGGGTTTAGGGTTTCAGCACCCGCGTAACCTTTGGCAACATACCTTAAGAGGGCCTCCCACGCTGTAATAATGGTATAGAAGGTGTGGATTCACAGGCACTTCACACACTTTTACAGAGCGCAAAGCGACGAATCTGAGACGCGTTTGGTAGGTTGGCACTACGCCTACACTTCCATGAGGCTTAAAACATCTGCATGACTTAGCATGACTGCTGCAAAAGACTGCTTTCTGACCCCAAATGAGCCATTAAGCATGCTGCGAAATCCCATGAGTGCGTTCACACTTCACACACTCCCCCTTGAACCCAAACTTGGGTTCAACCTTCCAGGATTCACGAAAAAATCTCAAGTTCTGTACATCCTATCCAAGCGAAATGCACATATGCACGAGAGCTGCTCTCGTCGAGCCAATCGTCTGCATGCAACTGCCTGCCAAAGGGCGCATTGGGAGTGGCATCCAAAATCCAAGTCCTTCTTCTGCCGGTGAACTGTGACAACGCCACCGGTGGACGAGTGTTCTCTGGAGTAAACAAGCGAACTCGAGGATCCAAGTGCCACCTTAAGACCGCTCTCTGAGCCGGTCGGTACTCCCATCTGTCTTGACCCACCGGTCGCAGATTCAGGTTCAGTACTGGCGGCCAATCTGTCCACTCCACCGCATTGAGCTGAAACCTCGGCTGGCCTACAGTTCGACGTCTCCGCGTCAACCCTTCCAGGTGTCCTTCAGCTTCGCGTTGAGCCTGTTGAGCATGACGCTGTAGACAGTTTCGTGGGCAACGATCGCCACATCGTCGACATACCTCCGGAATCAGGGGGGGTTCCTGGCCCCTCAGGGGCGGCTGCCTCTTCCCCTGACTGTAGATGTGCATCGCGAGTCGACTCCGGCCAGACACGGGCTATGGCGTAGAAGCAACCCTGTCCGACCCTAGCACACAAAACCTTAAAAACCTCCCAACAACAAACCGTAACGACAACTAACCCGAAAAGAAACTGCCAATCGCGGTCACCAAGTCCCTGGCTGCTCCCAGTTTGAGCTTCCACTGGCTCCAACAGGCTTGCAACAACCAAGCACGTGAGGAGGATCTTAATCTTCTCTTCCACAGACCCATCGCCCACAGCCAACCTCTTGGCTCTAGTAACAGGCTGCTCCGCCATTCCAAGAGCTGTGACGAGTTGATGGAACCTAGGCCCCGGAAGGGGCTTCGTGCCAATGTCTGCTTTCATGCTGGCGCCATTGACATGGTGAAGGGTGTACGAGCCCGACTCAAGAGCTTCCCGCACGTAGGAGGCACGGATTCTCAGGTGTCGGGCGCGCCAATTATTCGCTTGAGTACTGCAGATGGCAATGGCCGCTTGGCTGCCCGAGTGCATCTGCATCGTCACTGGAGCTCCATGGATTTCCCTCGCCAGCGGCTCCAGTGCTCGAAGGTCAGCAAACAACGAAGTGATTCCAACCAGTTCCGATTCTGCTGTCGATAGTGTGGTCATACGAGTCATACCCTGTCGGGTCGCCGACCAAGCTATCAAACCGCCGCTGTAATATGCCAACGTCGACTGGAAGGATCTCCCGGAGGATGGAGCGAAGCTTGCGTCACAGAACCCCACCAAGGAGTTCGGTCCCATCGGCTGTGAAAGGTCTCCCTCCTCACCCCAGGACATATTGGCACTCCCATACCAAATACCTCGGGCCGGAAAACGTCGTAGGTACTTGACCACCTGCTCCCCCATGGCGCAAGCCTCCGCGGCGTTCACCGAGATGGTTCTTGAGATCATTCCCACAGCGAACTGAAGCTCGGGACGAGTAATGCCGCTCAGCCAGAGGAGCTCCCCGGCAACCTGTTGAGCCTTTCGAACAGTCGACGGGTCCTGCCGGTCAGCAGGTGCAATGTCAGGCAACTTAAGAGCTGGGACCTCCGCTCCGCCTCCATCCGGATATCGGGCCAGGAGTTCTTGTGTATAAGAACCTTGGTGCACCAACACTCCTCCTTTTCCGCGACAGATTTCTACACCTCGGTAGTGAACGTTGCCGTCGTCCAACAGCTCTGGCTGGGATAACTCCCATGTTTTGCCCAGTTCGGCAATGACATCTGCAATGATCTGAGGCGTACTCAAAATCATCATGTCATCCACATATACCAACAGCAGTCCGAGACGTAGCGAGGCGTCATCGGGATCTTCCGCATCAACAGGCACGATTGCCCAGATGTCGCCGTCCGACCGGAATTGGTGGAGGCGCACCACTCCAGAACAGGTGTGGAGTTTAAGGCTCGGTAGGGTCCGATCACGGCATCGAGACCAGGCTGCCGGGCTTATTTGCAGGCCATAGAGCGCCCTATGAACGTCCCAAAACATTTCGGTGCAGACGCCGATGCGGCGCCACAAACCAGGCGTGCGAACCATTACCCTCTTAGCGCCTAGATCTTGCCCTTCGAGTTCCGCGTTGAGAAAAGCTGTTTTGATATCTACAACGCCTGCGGACCACTGCTTGCGAACCATTAACAACAGACAGCATCGGAGGGAAACAACGTCCAGGCCTCCTGCGTACAGCTGGTTGGCGGTGTAGTTGCCTTCCCCAAGGTAGTTACCACAGGCTACGCAACGCACTTTGCGCCTGGCCGTAAACGCTTTCACTCAATTGGAGACCCGGACTCCTTCGGACCCAACCTCACCTTGCGGACCCGGGGCAACAGTCAGATCTTCGGCACCTCGTCCATCCACCGGCGCATATTGACAATTTTGTAAACCCTTGCCTAAAGGCATCCCTAACATTGATGAAGCCTCAATCTCGCCCCGGGGAAGTGCCCGACCCCAAGGGTCGACTGACACTCTCTCGACGTGGGTTCACCTTGGGCTTCGGCACCATCTGCCACAACGCTCCAGCCTGCCCTGTTCTCTGGGATAACTGGCATGCCTCTCGTCCCAGCCGCAGCCTCTTTTAAGCCACGTGCACCTACAAGACGCCTGTGGGAACCCAGCGAGTCCGGATCGGCTTGTACTCTCTCATTTGCCCCTTGCGCATTACTAGGCGACTCCTGCGTGCTGGGATCATCACCTTGAGCCCTGGTCCTACCTCTCGTGGCACCTGTACCTGCTGCACCTTGACCTTCGGCACCTGGCACTGCACTTAAACCTGTGGCAGCTGGCACTGCACGTGAACCTGTGGCACCTGGCACTGCACGTGAACCTGTGGCACCTGGCACTGCACCTGAACCTGTGGCACCTGGCGCTGCACTTAAACCTGTGGCACCTGGCACTGCACGTGAACCTGTGGCACCTGGCACTGCATGGCGCTGCACTTAAACTGCACTTAAACCTGTGGCACCTGGCACTGCACCTGAACCTGTGGCACCTGGCGCTGCACTTAAACCTGGACCTGCGGCACCTAACACTCGGTTTGCGCGGTCGTCGGCATTTACTATCCTGGCTGCTATTGCAGGACCCTGAAATGCCTGGGTCGCCGGTCTGCTAGGCCTGTGGTACCCAGCTCTGGCCATGGGAGGAGCATCGGACCTTCCCTCCTTAGCCGCCCCGGCGCAACTAAGAATCGCTTCGGCTTCTTCTTTTGTTGCTCCTGCCTCCATGAGGTCTTCCCGATATAAAAACTCAAAATCTTCAAGGTCATCCACCCCGAGAGCATCGATCGGCTCAATCAGGTGCTCCAAGCCAAGGTTGATCAGGTATTGCTTCACCCGATCCCAGCTGGCTGGCTCGAAAACCCTCGCTTCTAACCTTCTTGCAGAGGCCCCGGCCCGTGATACTTCCTTCTGCAGCGGTGTCTTCTTGGACATCTTGTCGAATGTCACAGGACTCTTGCTCCTGGCTATCAATTTCCGTTCCAAGCTGCCGCCGGCCCTCCTCAACTATACAAGTTTCTAGCAACCCCAAACTTACGCTACTATCTTTTGCAAGAAAAACTTTTTCTTCTTTTTCGCTTAGGAACCTTTTTTCTTTATCTGGACCTTCCTTATCTGGATCCACTCCCCCTCGACTGAGTCCCAGTCGAAAACCATGGGACTGCAATTGATGGAGTTGCTGGGCAGTGGCGCGAGCAATCCAAGGAACGGAAAAACCAACAAGCAGGACGTGATCCTGATGTGTTTCATGAGGCAAAGGCGCAGGCAAGTCGTGTAGCGAGTGGGGGTCAACAGAAGCCGGCTGCCCCACCACAAGAGGAAGACGAAAACCTGAATAAACCGTGCCATCAGGTCCAAGCCATGCAAGGGGGTCAAGTGGACCATTCACGGGACGCTGAACCCACATGTATTGTTCTGTAGGGGGCAAGGCCAACGGCAAAACATGATTGCACGAGGACTTAACATTTCTGCGATCCACATGCGGTTGGGCCGCAGCGGAGAAAAACAGACCCAGCGTGGTCCAGGAACCGTCCGGATGTGCTTGTCCGAGGAGCGCGTTCAAAAGTTGGACGACGCCTGGTAGCCGGTCAGTGAGGCCACTAACTCCCGTGAGGCCGCCATGCTTGCACCAGCCAAAAAGGAGGTATTTCGAAGACTCCCCCGCGCCTAAACGTGCGGGCAGGACCTGGGCAAGTTCCTTGAGTACGGGCGCAGAAACTATCAGTGCGGCAGCGGTACGAAAGGGGACCGGCCGACAGGCTAACAAGGCAGCGGCAGCTGCCGACAACGCAACGGCATCCGGCACACTCGGCAGCCGGGACTGCACAACCTTAGCAACAGCCGGAGGCTGTTTTCCGGTGACGCGATGCGAAGGTGTGGAGGAGGTCGGAAATGCAACGGTGACTTCCGTGGTCGGAGGTGCAGAAACGGGCACCGGAGCTGCCCAGACGACATCGGAAGCCACGACGGTGGTATGCATGAGAGTGCCACTGCAGTCCTTACTACATGGCCCTTGCATGAACTCTATCCGACCATACATCCCCATGTCTCTCCCATGAACGAGTTCTAACCCGAACCTTAGTTCCAAAGGGCAGAGGCGGACAGACGGAGCGGCCAAAACGTGCCATGGCATGAGTCCACGCCCTTTAAGGCGAGCATGATAGCTCTCTACCCGGCCATTTTGCTGAGTCTGAAATCCACATGACCTTGGACCACACGCCGCAGGAAATTCTCTTGCTCGCGCAGGGCACTGCACTTTTCAGAGGACCATGCGTCTACAGCCGACAGCACCTCTCTCTTGAGGATGGCCTTGAGCCCCGGCGCCCAAGCTGCCCACGATGAAGAGGGCCAGGAGCCCTGGCCAGGACCTGAGACCTGAACGTCTGGCGGAGGAGGATTGTGGTGGGCTTCCTCTTTTCATGACCCAGGGGTCCCTGGTCCAGGTGCCAGAAATGAAGCGCACGCTGCGACGCAAGATCCTTGATGGCCTCAAGGGCCCAACACGAGGCAAAGCCATCAGTCGGCGGCTCGAAACCAACAAGGTCCTCGGGAGATGCCCAAGATTCGGGGTCCTTAGGATGTTCCATGCCAAAAAACGGCTTTGGGAGTTGGAGCCCTTCCGCCACCGCCTCCGCAATCAAGTACGAAACATTAACACTCCATCTGTGTAGATGGCCTCCCGTTCACTGGGGGTTAAGTAGTCAAAACCCCACTGGGTCGACGCTGTTCTTCCCCTCAAAGGCCGAGGTAGTCCAGGAGGCAGGTACCTTGATAGTGAGAAGGTCTTGCACGGTGGTCCGCCCAACACGGCACACAGTTGGCCAGACATGGCCAGGCTTTCTAGGAACGCGTATGTATTGTCGTCCAGGAGGTTTTCTTGTATGTCTACACATACACAGTGCGCATCGGAGCGCGGAAGCTCCCAAAATTTCTTATGAGGGCCCGAGAACAAATGAAGAGCCAACGCCTTGGACCTCAGCCAGGTTCTGCGCTCCTTCTATTCCAAGCCACTCTTGAGGGGTCATAGCTCGCTGCCACAGGGATCCTGGCCAGGATGTCTGGAGGAAGAGACGGAAACTTCCTAGCCAGCCATTTCAAAGCCACTGTCGAGTCCACAGGGAGGGCCCTTAGCGGTTCCCTAAGAGATACTTCCCCACCTGCTTGATCCCTAAGCGACCTTAAAGCTTGGGCATTACGCATCTGCGAAACCTCAATTTCCCGCATCAGTCCAGGCCAGCTTCCCTATCAACCTCCGGGCAGCCATTGTTGGTGTACACCCGAAGGGCCGGACGCCCAGGACACCTCACCTGGCATCCACCTTCCCGGGTCCAGTCCACTAGCCTTGTGCAAAGACACGCTGGGATCCACAAGATCTGGGGTCTACAAGGTTCCCCCTTCATTGACTCGCAACCTAATCTCTCCTTGAGCGAGCTGGACCGTTCGCTCCGGTAATCCGGCAAGTTCCTCCGGCCGTGCTGTGCGCATGCAGGCAGTTGCCCCTGAGTCCAACAGGGCACGCGACGAAGTGTGACCTTCCCCTATCTTATTTAACTTCAAGTTCTTCAGCAGGGTTGCCGTATCCTGTATCCTATAACAGCTGCTGAGCGCTGGGGCCAAAGTTGGAGCCGGCTCTTCCCCCTTTGCGACCTTGACCTTGGGCTCTGGCCTATTCTTCCCTCCTTTTGCCTTAGGCGTTGCCTTCTCAGGGGACTCCTTGGCGACCCTCGGGCAGTCTTGCTTCTGATGCTGCGTGCTCGAGCACACCCAACACCGCGCCGTTCCCTTCAACAAGTCCTTACTATGAATGTCCGGGCATTTGGCAGCTTTAACACAACCCATATCAGTTATGCACCAGTACTTGCAAGGAACCCTGGCAGACTCCTTTCCTGAACCATTTCCTTTGGTTCTCTTTCCTCCTCCAGGCTCCCCACCTCCTTGCTTGCCGTGACCTTGCTTGCCCTTACCTCCTTTAGGCGGGGATTCCTCCTCTCCTTCTTGCATCTTGTTTACACGGGGCTTCTTTGGCTCGGTTGGCTCACTATGCTGCAGAAGTTCATACTCTGCCAGGATTAACTGTCCAAAGGCAACTATTGAGTCGAAGGCTGGGGCATAGTCCAGCTTCCGTTCGTTCCTGAACGAGTTCAGCCGGAATGACGCTTGCTGGCTCTTGGTAAGGACCGGGCCAAGCAGTGAGTCCGCCCCCTTGGTCAACAAAGTAGCGTCGGGCAACATGAGGCCTAATTCTTTGGCTCGCTGCAATTGCCGCAGCCACCTCCTGCAAGTTGCGATCCCTGAGTCAATGCTCCCAGGGCGTTCTGGAGCAGCCAAGAAGGCAAGAACATTCGCCCGCTCATTCGGTCCTCCGGGCTGGCAACGACAAAGGACTGCTACCACCACAGCCAACGAGCTCATTGCTCGAACTGCAACTAACTCTGCCCGGATCTCCGCCGGCACCGCCCGCATGAGCAACACAGTAAGCCGTTGTTCAATAAGCACATGGCGTGGGGACGGACTGATGCTGCCTGAAGCATCTGCCTTAATGCTCAATCGCTGCACCGGATCTGCTGCGAGCCACTTGGCACACAACCGGTAGGCCTCTCTCAGGACATCCGCCCACCATACTCCTGAAGTAGCAGACATAGT